AAGACACAACTACAGGGAATGAATGCTCCTGTTCTCAGACAGGTTCCTCTGCTCTTACACATTGCTCTACGTAATACTGTCCATCTGCTCGGAGTGTACAGTTCAGGTGCCTTGGGAATGTCATTGTTTGTGTCTGTACCATTTATACTTGTGCTGTATGTGCACTACAGAAGTGTAAACACAAGAATTTTACTCTCGGTACATTTAAATTAAGATTTTCTTTTGGTCTTGAAAAATCTGACTATTTTAACCGGGCCATGTCACTGTGCAACTGTGTCAATGCCTGCAGTGATGCAGGAGAATGGGTTCCATAGGATGGGAACCACTGACCAAAGAATGGGAAGTGGTGGTGTATAGAGGCACTTACAGAGACTGTGAAATTAGGTGTTTGTAAGTGTCCTTTGAATTAATAAAAATACTTTCATCTTGTGCATAGTTCCAAATAATAACAATACTAATTCATGCCTTCAACTATGCTCTGCATCCAAATTGCACCACTGTCACAGGCAGCACCTTACAACCTACAAAATCACAGAATCACAGAATCAACTGGGTTGGAAAAGACCTCCAAGATCATCAAGTCCAACCCTACTGTGGTTACTAGACCATGGCACTAAGTGCCACATCCAGTCTCAGCTTGAAAACCTCCAGGGATGGTGAATCCACCACCTCCTCGGGCAGCACATTCCAATGCCTGAGCACTCTCCCCATAAAAAATCTCTTCCTAATATCCAACCTAACCCTCCCCTGGCAGAGCTTGAGTCTGTGCCCTCTTGTCCTTCTGCTGGTTGCCTGGGAGAAGAGACCAACCCCCACCTGACTCCAACCTCCTGTCAGGGAGTTGTAGAGGGTGATAAGGTCTCCCCTGATCCTTACTCAAAAGGTTAGCAAGAAGAAAAGGGCACAACTAACTGCTGGGCAACAGTGAGGCTTTCTGCATACAACAGCTGCAATGCCATTTTGACAGGGCAATTTTAGACATTCAACTGCAAGCAGGAGAGAGATATCTTCCACCACAACCAATCTGTCAGTTCCCCTTCAAACACCAGAAGGCTTACAAGTACTTGATAGTTATCTAGGAAATTGTGCTAAACTGTCTACACTGATGTTACAATTTCAGGTAGCAATAAAGAGAAAAAGCAGTCAAATGGCTGGTTATGCAAAAAGAGGAAACTGGTTTCTGTATTCAGGAAACAGAATGTTTGCAGGGCCTGACTTTGCCCCTCTAAGTGGACACATAACATTTAACAGGTCTGCATCAACTTTACCTGGGATGGAAAATCTTCTTTGTACGGAGGCACATTGGTGGTTTCCTCAGTGACACCCTTGACTTCAAAGCTGCTGCTAATCTGATTCTCAGGAGCTCCTTGCTCCTTAACCATGTCACGGGGAACAGACACCACTGCACATTCAAGAAGAGCTTCAACAAATTCCAGAAAAACCATCTAGAGTAAAATAAACACAGTGGTTAAGCCATTTGTTTTTGCAAAATCCCTTCATTACCAGCCACATGTACCTGAGCAAACAAAGAACTTAGAAGTGATTGTAAAGCCTCTTTGGCCTCATTTATTTAGTCAAACTTCCCTTCCACTGAAGAAAAATTGAAACCAGCCAAATCTCATAGAATTCAGGAGGTAGTATGCTGTGTTACATCTCATACAAGTCATAAATAAAGAAATAAAACACAACATAGATTTTTGTTGCATCTGGAGCTATGAGAATTTCTCTAATAAGTAACTCACAACTATTACCTAAAACATTTTCATGACATGATGCTTAAGGAACCCCCAAGAACAGGCGTAATAAGGAATCCCGTAGCAGGACTTAACACTGTGTGTTCAGGTGATCAGATCCTGTTTCAAACCATTATGTCATTTACAACAGAGTATTGCTGAATAAGAGCTAATTCTTTCAGGATGAAGACCCTCTGTACCAGGCCAGCTCTCAGGTGGCACAAGAATCTCCTACAGCTGCTACACGACCTCTCTGAGGTGGCAGCACCTCACACATCGCTACTCAAGTTTCTTGGATC